ACTAGCATTCAACCTATTTTTTAGGTTTTATTATCTTTCTTATTTTTTTTTTTTTGTAAAAAACAAAAGTTTTATCTTTTTTTTTACTCAGTGTATTTGTTTTTCCACAATATCAGGTTTTCTACCATATTTTTCTACCTGATTATTTTTTTATATAATGTTATATTTTCCTAGCTATGTAAACTCTCTACTCCATCTTCTTCTTTCAAAATCATAATTAAATTTATACTTTCGTATGTTATTTGAGAATCAAAAGAAGGAAAAAAAAAAGTATACAAGTTTCTTTGATTTGTTAAGGTATGTCATACTACTACTACCACTAATAATAATTATTATTATTATTAAAATAATAATACTAATACTACTACTGCTAATAATAATAATAATAATAATAATAATAATAATAATAATAATAATAATAATAATAATAGTAATAATAATAATAGTAATAATAATAATAATAATTTCAACAGCTAGTTTTGTCAAACATTCATATTATGAACAGCTACCTTGACAGCTCACAGCTCACAGCTCACAGCTACCTATTGACAGCTCACAGCTACCTCTACAGCTAACAGCTGCTCAAAAGCTAACAGCCAGCAGCTACACCTACCTTTGCCGAACAGACCCTAACAACTATCTCCACAGCTCACAGCTATCTCCACAGCTACAGCTACCTTCACAGTTATATTTTGCCGAACATGCCCTTAATCTAGGAGTCCAATCATTCAATTACAAATTGTTGAAACTAAAAACATTTTACATTTGTGCTTGAACTTTATGGGAATATATATTGTAATGCATTGATGGGGGTAATTAAGTTATGGAATATTGTATAATTGTGTTTATTTAGTTCTGATTCGTGTAAATACAAAAAGTTAGCTAAATTGGAATTTTTTATTTTTTAACAATGTGCTTTGAAAATGTTGGGCCCTCAATATTACTGGCCCCTATGTGAAGGGTCTGTTAGCACAAGGCCTTAGCCAGCCTTACTACTATTTTTGGCAAAAAATTACCATGCCCAAACCCTAAATTTCTGGATAAAAGTGTTGAACCAGCTGGTCGGACTTGTTTTGATGTGACATATAAAATAATATGTACATTCTTCGTCTTTATACTCCCTTAGGTTTTGTAAATTCATTACTTTGACTGGCATATGTCGATGCCCAAATTTGATCATCAATATCTTTTATGAAGCATAACTAATCCATGAGAAGGGTGGGAAGATAGTGTAATGGGATTTGCTTTGCTTTTATGGCCGCTGATTAAAAAGTGTTATTTAAAAAAAAGTTTTCTTAATAATTAATTAAAATACTTATTTCTAATTAATTTTTAAAAAGCACTAGTTATAAAACGACACGTGGGATCATTAACTCAAAAAACTGGTTACCCTCAAAACTAACACGCCATGACTCATTTTGGAAAAATCCCCCATAAAATTGACTTAGGGCCTGTTCTCTTACGTTGAAATTCAGTTCAGTTCAGTTCAGTTCAGCTCAGCTCCTAATTTCCTTCTCTTATAAAATATTCATTTCTATTCAGTTCAGTTCAGCTCAGTTCAGTTCAGTTCAGCTTAATTCAGTTCAGTTCAGTTCAGTTCAGCTGAGTTCAGTCAATGAGAATAGACCTTTACTTTTAGTTAATCAAAACATTTGCTTATTTTGTGCTAATTGCACAAAGCTTTAATTTACTTATTTTCGACAAATTTTTGCCTTAATGTTTGTGTAGGCATAGTTACTGATCATGTTAGGCTCATCAGCCCAATTTTACGTGAGCTTTGGGAAAAATATTTCTATCTAAAATCAAGTCGAGATTGGCCCAATTTTTTTATTTCATTTTTTTTCCTGAACCTTGGACATAGGGCTGTTAAACAGATCGTGTTGTGTCGAATTCGTGTTCGTGTCGATGTTAAATGGGTTGAAAAACCCTTGATCCAAACCTAACCCGTTTATTAAACGGGTTGAAAATCTTTGACCCAAACCTAACTCGTTTATTAAACGGGGTTACCCGTGTAACCTTTTACCCACATAGTTTGTAATAAACTAATTAATATTAAGTTCAAAAATAAAACAGACAAACACCATTATTTATTCATTAAAGATACTACAACAATTTAAAGTTAGTGTTTTAGAAAAAGATACCACGAGAGTTTTAACAATACAACCACACATAAGAAGTGTCTTAATTTAATCGCCAAATTAAATTTTAATTTACAAAAGATAAAAATTATAATTTAATCACCAAATTAACCGCCAAAAAATTACCAAAATGTATAAATGGTGTCTAGCTTAAGCATGTTGGGTTTGGGTTGACGAGCGTTGTCGTTCAACCCATTTATATAATCGGGTTATGCGTGTCAGTTTTCGAGTTGAAAATTTCAACCCAAACCTAACCCGTTTAATTCCGTATCATGTTTGTGTTGACTCAATTATGTAAACGGGTCAAGAATTCTTTATCCAAAATCGCTTATTTCGTGTCGGGTTCGTGTCGAGTTATTGGGTCATGTCAGCTTTTAATAACCCAAGTTGGACATGCAATTTTTAAGCTATTTTGTCATTTTCTCAAAATAAAAAAAGAATAAAAAAAAACACTATTTTGTCAAATTTTTAACATGGCCATAAAAACCCAACCTGGTCCGATTTTTGGGTTTTCGGGCCAAATCCGGCCCACCTGTTGATCACCTATGACTATGAGCAATAGAAACTACCTTGTAGCCATAACTACCTACCCCCCTTCCAAATTACAATAAAACCCTTACCTACACTCCCACTAACCATACAGTTACCACCCACTAACCACGGTAAATGCAAGTAACTGTCCATTCCTCACATTTATATACAAAAAAAAAAAAAAAAAAAAAAATCAAAACCTTCATTTCAAACCCATTTTCATGAAATTCTCTCTCATCAAAACCAAAATTTTGCATGAAACTCACTATAGATTGCTTCAAAATTACTGCAAATTACATCAAAACATCTAAAAATGTCTGACATTAGAGATGAAGTTCGTCAATCGCAACTAAATTCCGAAAAAGAAGAGTAAGAATTTGTTCATTTAAGTAGAATTTTGAGTGTAAACCCTAGATTTTATATTTTTTGCGTTTTGATATTCTAAAACAAAATCTACTATAAATACAGTTATTTTTGTGCAAAATAGACTAAAATCTACTATATTTGGTGGTATTTCTGTAGAAACAAAATAGAGAAGAACACTTTAAAGGTTCCGTCGAAGAAGACGGTTGCTGAACAAATGTTCATTTTCATTTTGATAGATGTTCATTATGATAGTAGTATATGATCATTTACATTCTCCCTTACATCTACTAGCTAGGGTTCATTCTTGAGAGAAGATTACCCTAATTTTGTTTATGATCTTTGCATATTAATGAATGTTTACTGATATTTAAACATATGTTTATTTAATGTAAATGTACATGTTCATTCTCATATTGAAAATATCCACATAGACTATAATAATACATGTTTAACTTCATATTAAATTATATGCTTATGAGCGTCATTTGAATATTATATTACATATATTTTAGCTCTAATATTGATATATACATTTTAGCTCCAATATTGATAGATGCTTATTCGAATTTGATACATAGATGTTCATTTGGATATGTGTATATTCACACACATATTAATGTATGTTCATTCACATGTCAAAAAATGTTCAAAAATAAATCGCATATTGTTCATTCATCATAAACCTTTGGTGATTCTATTTTAAAATATAATTTAATCTTATGGTATTTTATTCACATTTAATATCAATACATATTAAGTTGTATTTTGATATATTGGATTATTTTTAATGGTCATTTATTTTTACAAATATTCTTTTGAATTTTTTTTTATATATATGTTCTTTTCATGTTAATAAATGTTCATTTAGAATTTAATACATGTTCATTTAGATTTTATACGTTTTCATTTTCATGTTGAAATATTTTTATATATTTATAGTGTGTTCATTTCTAAATTTGTAATTATTATTAATGCGTTAAAGTTCAATTTTGAATATAATCCTTATATTTAATGTACTTTTGTTGGAATGTGTTGTTATAATTTTATTTATTTATTTTTTTTAAAAAAAAAAAATCTTGATCGATCTCTTATTGTAAGGATAATCAAGTAAGGAAGTTGAAGGCGATAAATATATTGTGCTCATATTATATATTTCATGGAAAACACACACACATATATATTAGAGGTGCAACAAGGAGGATATACATATATACACTTCATTATATCAAATGTAACAAAAAATGTTCATTTAACAAGACACATATGTACATTTAGTTCGCTCTCTTGTTTATGAAACAATTATTATATGTAATAGTATAGTTATATAGAAATGCGTTATTATTGTAATTAAATTAAATTTATTTTATATTGGAAATTAATTTTTAACAACGTTTTATTTAAATAAGTAGAATTCTAAGACGTATGTATTTGTATACTATACATCTTACTATGAAACTTACACATAGCTCTTGAAATGAACATTTGATGATACAAAAAGGCATATTTGATGATACAAAAATAAACATTTGTTGAAACACGAATAAACAAAAATGAACATTAGATGATACAATGCTTCTTATAATAAAAATTATTTGAACGCAGCAATCCTTACAAATATATTTTCTCTCCTTTTTTTTTTATAGAAAAATCTTAGCATTTAATTCAGAAAATATATTAATTTGAACAAAAACTCCTTGTTATAAAAATGAACATCTAATGATACATAAATGAACATTTACCAATTCAAAAATGAACATGTTATAAAAATTTGCAGGAAATTCATAAATGAAAAGGGGCGGGGGCGGAGCACGCGCGGGGGGTAGAGGGGTGCAGGTAGTGTTCCCTGCCTTGGGGTGTAGGTAAAAATTTGTAATGACTATGAGCAATAGAAACTACTGAACTACCGAGGGTCTGGCCAATTCAACTTAATTTCATTTAAGTTCAATGTAGTCCAGTTCTGTTCAGCTTCAATCCGTTGAGCAATTCAATTCAGCTCCAATCAGTTCAACTTATTTCTGTTCAATTCAGCTCCAATCATTTTAATTCGAATTCAATCATTTCAGTTTAGCTTCAATCACTTCGGTTCACTCCATTAAATATGAATAGCCCTACTAAAAATAAAAACCTTTCTTTTCCATCCCAAACTCACATCACAGCAAAAATGGCGTCACTACCAACAGATATAATCTCCGAAATTCTCTGTAGATTACCAGTCAAAACCCTTCTACGCTTCCTCTGCGTTTCAAAATCATGGTATTCTCTAATCAAAACCCCCAAATTCATCAAACTTCATCTCAATCAAACCCTAAAATCCAACACAAATCGCCACCTTCTTCTCACCCATTCCACCCTTTCTTCCGGCGAACTCCGCCGTCAATTCCATTTCTCCGAGATCAAAGGCCACCCTTTTATCGGCCGATTCAACCCCAGAAAGGACACGTGTCCTCTTGGTGTACCTCCTGATTCATGCCCTCTTCAACCTGCTGGATTACAGTTTCACGGGTCTTGCAATGGCGTCGTTTGTATTTCCGACCCTGAAAAGATTGATGTTGTTTTGTATAATCCCAATACTAAAACTCATCGTTTTCTCCCTAAGACGGAGAACCCATACCCGGATAAGTTCTCGATATTCGGGTTCGGGTATGATAGTGGGAGTGATGATTACAAGGTGTTGAGGATGATGCAATGTGTTGGGCCTAATGATGAGATTCTTAATGATGCTAGGGTTTATAGTTTGAGGAAGAATTCATGGAGAAAGATTGATCATATGCCTTATCATGTAATTTATGATGATGGGGGTGTGCTCCTTGATGGGGTTTTGCATTATGTTGCTAGTAAGGTGGCATTCTCCCGGAAAACAAAATCGATTGCGAAATTCGATATAAGAACTGAGACTTATTCGGTTATGGATGGCCCTGATTATGATAGGAGTTTGCAAAGTTGGACAATGTACTTGGGGAATGTTAATGGGTGTTTGAGTTTATCGGTTAATTATGATTTTCACGGCCGTGCTGATTTGTGGGTGATGAAGGAGTATGGGAAGAAAGAGTCTTGGATGAAAGCTGTTTGTATTGGGAATCATCAAGGTAGTTTGATTGATTTGAGAGCTATTGGTTGTTCTGATGATGGGGAGAAAATTTTGGTTGAGATGGATAACTATGAGCTGTGTTGGTTTGATATGAGGCGACAAAAGTCGATTCGAGCTGGAATTGAGGGGCTGCCGAAGTATAATTATAGAGCGGCTATATACGTCGAAAGCCTTGTAATGCTTGATGGTGATAGGGTGCAGTCACAGGGGAGTAAGGTGGTTTCGAAGGGTGGAAAAAAAGGTGCAATTGGACGGTGATAAGAAGTCGAAAGGAGGGGGAGCGACGACAAGGAAGCATAAGAAGTAAAATAATTCTGTTTGCCTTGACAATTACTGAAATATGCATGATTACTTTTGTTATTTGCATTCTTAGTTATGGTCTTGATGGCTTTAAGCATGCTGGTTGACTTTTATAATTGTTTAGCTTATCAATGTGGAAAATGTGACTTGTTTAATTGCATTGCTATGTGTTGATGATATGATATGACATGTTTAGGATGTATTACTATAGGTAATGAAAAGGAGGATCACTCTCCAACCTTGATCTCTGTCTCATTTTAGTAGAAACATAATTGCACTACTTTGTGTGTTCTGGTGGCTTAATGTTGAAACGATAGTTGGACAATTTTTTCATTTACAATTTGTTTGATGACTTATGACCGGATTGAAATTGTTCGATTTCTTATGCTATATTGTCTTTTTAAGTCTAATACAGAGTGCATTTCTGCCTTATTTTTTCCTTAAGGTTTTGTTTTGTACAGAAGTATAAGTATTTTTGATTACTTGATGTTTAAAGCTTGTAAGTAAGACTATTCATAACTTTTTCCGTAAAAATGAATATTTATGATTTTAAGCAGAATTTCATGCAGTGGAACCAAATTACCAAACTAAGCTTTTTTAAAAAATTAAGATTGAAATTTTGGCATTTAGTTTTTATGAAGCTCTCTGCTCTCTCAGGGCTGATCAGGATGATTTCCTTGCTAAGGGGTTTAAGCTGCGACTTTGACAAAATTGAAGATGCTATGCAGGTGAACTATGTAATGTATACTTCTAAACTCATTTATCAATAATCTAATGCTATCATTTCGTGTGCTTAAATGTACTTCTAAACTCATTTATCAATGATCTAATACCATCATTTCATGTGCTTAAATGGCTCAGCTTTTCTGTATGTTGTTACCTTTTTGGATTAAAGAAAATTAAATCAGCTGTTTAGCTTTTGAAAAACTTGTAATTGAATGGTGATAAGTCATAGGCTATTAGTTGTTAGGAATGATCAATTATGACGTCGCTGTTATGTTGAAGAGAGATGGGTCAGTATATAATTTGATCATGCTCTATATAAATTGGTAGAGCTATGCCGTTCTCAGGCTTATACAGTGGCTCTACAATAGAGAGTTTACTAACCTTAGGCTTTTATTGAATCACATAATGATACCCCAGTATGCCTCCCTATCATATTTGCTCATGAGCTAAATATAGACAAGGAGATAATGAGATAGAGAAAGCAACCAGGGTTTTCTAATCAGCAGAGACATTTGGCATTCATTGGAAGGAGACATTTTGTGATCTCATTGTTGCCAATCTATTTCAAAGAGGACATAAATTTAATTAGTATTTATTTATTTATTTATTTTAGAATTCTCTAAAGTTCAAAACAACCTTGTCAAGTATCTGTTATTTTTGTATAGCTATTATTGCAATTGAAAGCCAGCTTTAAAAAAATTCTCATAATTACAATCAAATTATAAAAAACAAGAAGCTCAAGTTGGCGGTTCTTCTGTCTGTTTTGTTTCTATAGCCAGTTTCATTATGCTTATTCCTGATGTTTCCCAAGATGATTTTGCTTCTGCTTGGAATGATAGATGGATAGCTTGCAAATATGGGCATACTTTCAGTTCTCTTTCTTTAAACAGTATTGTGACAGCATTGACTTTTTCTCTTTTTTGGTGATAAAATTCATCTAATATTGTAGGTTGGTTTTTCAGTCTGTTGATTTTTGGCAATGCTAAGAATACGCTACCTGTGATTAGAATCTGTTGAGTCTGTTATGCTAATGCCTGCAGCAACCGGTTGAAAAGCACTAGAATAGTTTCTTAATTAAAACACAAATATTGATGTCCTTGCTTATATGACATTGTGGCTTGGTCCTGGGATGAATAAAAAATTTCTAACTCTTTTTTTTTCACTAGGTTTTTAATTGTTACCAATCTTACCATTGTTCTTGGCTGGTATATAAATTTGGCCGTATATCTCCAGTTTGCAGTTTTGCTATTACTTGGGCAGCTTTTTCTTTTATTTTTTTTTAATTATGCTGTCCGTTATGATGAAATGCTTATAGGGGCAAAAGTTAACCACTGCAAAATCAAAATGAGAAAGCCTCATATGGGATGGTCTCAGTATAACATAGAAAGTGAAAGTCTTGGAGTAGGTATTCTAGCTCAAGCTTTGTGGAATGTTAGGCTTGATTTTAGATCTTTTAGATATGGCTACAATATCCAAAGTTGGAAAAAAAGGTAAAAACTATATTGCTGATGAAAATGCAGTAACTTGTTATAGGAGCTGATAAGAAATTCATTTGAAGCTTCGAGTTAGTACTCCATATGGGTTAGACTTTGAATTTAAGCTATTGATTGACTAGGATGGTATGAATGGCACACATCTGAACTTAAACAACTCTTTCAGAGATTACAGATGTGTGTCCTGCCTTTTGGCTTTACCTCGTTATTTCGTTCACATGCTCTATGATGTTAATTTATATGCTCTTCTGTACTAACATAGTATATGATATTGTGTTGTTTGAACGTGTTGTTTTAGTGCTGTGAATCGGGCAATTCCTGGTTATAATTATACCTATTTTGGGTGTTTCGGACAGTTTTCACATTTTGCTTTGGACGATGGCTATTCTTGACTTCTTGAGTTCAGAGTTAGCAACATTGTTTCAAGTGAAGAGAAGAGAAGAGAAACCTCCTGGTTATAGGTTTTGGTGGATGACTTTTTGTGGGAGGTCGCATCTGTTTATATCTGGTTGCGTCGGTGTTTCATATTTTGCTTTTGGTAGATTGCCATAGTTGGGAGTAATTTTTTTTATTTTGCTTGTTAAGCATTTTTAGTTTTCTACAGCTGTTGGGAGTTGTTATCACTGAAGTGTGTTTGTATCGACGATGAGCTGAAGTTTGTAGTTATTCAAGTACCCTTGTTATTCTCGTGGCTCAGTTTGATTTGACATATGAAACATTATATTAATACTTATCTAACAACATATTTTATGATAAAATTACGATCAAAGTTAATACATGAAGTGAAAAAAGTCAAATGCTCTATGTATTTTGAGATTGAGGGAGTACCATTAACCTTTGAGGTTAACCATGCCATTTGTTTCACCATTTTTTCTAAGAGTTTTTGTTTAATTTGACGGAAAAGTCACCGATAAGGCGGAAATATGGTGGTAGAATTGGTGGTTTAGGAGAGGAAAGCTCAAGCAACTTCAATAGAGGTGGTCAAAGCGTTGGAATGGTTATATGTGGAAATATGAAGTAGAAGATAAAAGAGGATGAGAAGGAAATAAAGGGAAAAGTAATTGCACGTGTCTCGTATACCTCATTGATGTTCATGTTAAAAAAGCACAAATTCTTAGCTACACATTTATGTAGATAAGCTAGCTGCAACAACCCTAATGAACATATAATATTTCAAAAACAAACATACGTTTTTTTTCTCCTTTCTTTATATTTACCCCTCTCTCTTCTTCATCCTTACTTTCATTAATTTTCTCTCTGTGTTTTCTTCTCCCCTCTTTATATTTATTTCTTTCTTCATCCTTTACCTCCATTAATTTTCTCTCTTTGTTTTCTTCTCCATTTTAAATTTTCTCTCTCCTCTTTCTTTTTTCTTTCCTTATAAGTAATTTTTTTTTCTTACCTCACTTTCCTTCCATTTGCGAAGTTCTTTATCCTCCTATTTTGAATATTCTCCAATTCTTCACCATTGTAGCATTCTCCATCATCTTCGTCGCGATCGTCACCATTTTCTTTTTCCTCAGTTTTCTACAATATTATGGATTTGGTTGTTATTCAAAAGAGATCATCAATGCAGGTTAGTTTTTGTATTGTTGATTTTTAATTAGTTTTAATTAGGTTAGATTTGGGCTAAAATTGTAATTGATTTTTCTGATTTTATAATTAGTGAATTTCACAATTTGATGAATTTTAATTGACTTTTTAATGAATGTAATATTGAATTTTTGAATATTTTATGAATATTAATTTGATTAATGAGTTTATGTGATGAATTACTGAATTAATGCATCTTTAATTTGTATGTTATAATAAATTTCGGTTTTTTGATTGAGTTACTAATATTTGTGCATAATTTTTGGAAGAAAAAAAAAATGAACACGTTATACTTTAAAATTGAACATTTAGCACAACATGGACATTTAGTACACTAAAAGTGAACATTTATTACATAAAAACTGAATATATTTTAATGATTCATTTTATCTTTATTTTCTTTTCTTTTTTTTGAAAAAAATTTTATCTTTATTTTCCGTTAATAATTATTCAACGAATTTGAATTTATATGAATATAAGAAAATCATGTTTATTTTTAATATACTAAATGTTCATAATTTTTTTCATGTGTTCGTTTTTTTATACTAAATGTTCATTTTTTAATATATTCATATATTTTTATGAAATGTTCATTTTATTTGGTGTGGTCTAGTTATTCTATTATTGTATGATAAATGTTCATTTTAATATGCTAATGTTCATAATTATTTTTGACATGTTCATTTTCTATTAACAAATGTTTTTTTTTTTACGTGTTCATAATTATTTTTACACTAAATGTTCATTTTTAAGGTTGTGGCCCATCAATTTTATGATTATCATGTTTATTTTTCATATTGAATTATCATTTTTTTAACATGTTCACTTTACTGAATGTTCAATTTTTTTAATCTGTTCATTTTTTATTACTTAATGTTCATTTATTTTTATATGTTCATAATTTTTTACTACATGTTCATTTCATAGGCAGTGGACCAGTGGTGCAGCTAAAACTAATTGTTAAAAAGGACAGTCTCTTTTTATTAATTAATTAATTAATTGCATCCAAAGAAGCCCTAAATTATTATAAAGTTCAATTTTTCTTTCTCCTTCCTGTCTCCCGTTATTTTCACCACTCGTTATTCTCTTTATTTTTTTATTTTTTATTTCTACCTACTTTTCCATCTAATATCTTCATTGACATTCAAAGAGATTATATTTTAATATAATATTAATATAATATATAAATAGATAAAAATAAAATAAAATTCGCCATCTAAGTTTCAATAGTAAATACTTGTTGCTTCAAAATTGTCTAATGGACTTATTTTAATATAAATATCATACCTTATTTTCAACTTTAAACTAATTGATAAATTTCACACTACTTACCTTCAATTTACTCCCAATTAGAAAATCACATAATTACTTCTTAATTGAGTTTTTTGAATAAAATAATATTATCACATTATTAAACAATTGATGATTAATAATTCATTTGTATATAATTGTACTAAAAATGATTCAACTATATTAAAAAGGAAAATTGTAATCTAATAATCCCACCTTTAGTCGGTCTTCCATAAACAATCCCACGTTTTGAAATTCCAGAAATAATCCCACTTTTGATCCTCATCTTCCACTAACGATCCCACTGACCTACAACTTGTTAAGCAGGTTATTTTATTTATTTATTTATCTATTTTTTTTAACTATACTCCTTCTCAAGCCACCAGTCCAACCACCACCCAACACTCACTCCTTACCGCCACCCCCACCACCAAGCCACCACGAAACTCACCAACCACGCCGGAAAATCCAATAACCATCCCCAAAACCCAACCCCCACCACGAAAACAGAAACCTAAACACAAAGTTTGGTAATCTCAAAAGTTGTTAGGTTGATAAAATCAGAAATGGAGAAGGAAAGAGAAACATCAACAGCAGCAGCAGAGGAATTTGATTACGACGATGAAGAAGAAAAGAAGATGGACAAGTTTTACGAATTAATTAGAAGATTCAATGAAGCTCGAAATCATCATCAATTCCGCCATCAAAATCAACCTCAATTGAATCGCAATAATAATAATAATAATAATAATAATAATAATAATAATAATAATAATAATAATAATAATAATAATAATAATAATAATAATAATAATAATAATCAGACGAAGAATAAGAGTGATGTGAATTTGAATTATAATTATAAAGGTTCTGCTACAGATACTCGGACAACCTGGATGCCTTCCTTCAAATGGGAGGATTTTCGACAGGTTCTTTCTCATCAGAATCAGCAGGAGAGTGATCGAGATCGACAGCTGCTTGTTTCTTCTGAAAAATCTGCAATTGATTTTCTGCAACCTCATCCAGAAATATCCAAATTTGATGATTATAATATCAACAATTTGAAGAAGAAGAGGAAGATGGATGACGTCAATGATGACGATGATGGTGAGATCACCACCGCTGATCATAACAAACATTCAAGTCCCAGATTGGACCTCAATCTTGCCCTCTGATTTAACCAATTAATTTAATCCTTAATTAGATTTTGGATTAATTAGGCCTTTTTTTTTCTGAAACTCAATCCTCAGCCACGAAATACTCCACCCTAGCCACGAAATACTCTACTCCGACCCCGAAAAACGTCACCCATCGTCTCCAATTCGGTTTTTGGTTTGAAATTAAACGCAAATTATTATTTCAATCATCTGAAAAATCGAATTGAAAGGGAATGAATTGATGAATTCAGAGAAGAGAGAAAGAGCAGGAGAAGGAGAAGGAGAAAGAGGGGTTATGGGCTGCGAATTGGGTTGGGTTTTAGGGGAAGCTAGGTGGCTGCAGGAGCTGATTTCGGGCTACAGGGGTTGGGTTCCGGCGCCTTGAAGGGGTAGGTTGGGTTGTCGGGGAAAGCAAGGGTGGGGATGCGGTGGCGGGATGGGGAAGGGATACGGTGGTTGGGCTGGGGGTTTTGGTTTTGTTTTTTTTTTTTTTATATTATTTTTTTATTAGTTTTTTTTTTTTTTAAAAAAAAAGGTTAAACCTATTAAAACCTGACACGTGTCTTATAACCTATGAAAACCGGTTATCAAAACAATCCAATCGGTAAAGGATTGTTAAGGGAAGATGGGGGTCTAAGGTGGGATTGTTTCTGGAATTTCAAAAGGTGGGATTGTTTATGGAAGATCGACTAAAGGTGGAATTATTAGTTTACAATTTTGCTATTAAAAATAAACTTTTCGAAAAGTGGGTCTCACTCCAACATTATTAATGTTATACTATATTGCTAATAAGTGTGAAATCCCAAAGTTTGTATTAATAAATGTGAACCCTCCAAAGTTCGAATAATTTAACAATTATAATAGTATTACTTTTATTTTCCGTCTCTTTATGTTACAACACATCATTAACACTGTACTAGCTTAGGAATGTCGGTCAATTTAGCTAATTCGAAGTTGTCTAAAAAAAATATTTTAATATTTGTGAAATTAACGTATGAATAAGTAACACTAAGGAATAAATATGTATATTTGTATGAACAATGTCACCTCCCTTTTCCTTATATCAAAATCTTAATGTTAAGATTATTACAAATGTCAAAATCTCTGCTTCAATGAATTGTTAAAGATTATTGCAAATTTTAACATCAGGTTACATCACCTCCCAATTTTCATGACACCTTTATCTTTTTTTCTAATTTATTTATTTATTTTCACTCCTATATTATATTTTTTTAAAATAGATTGATTTAATATTGAAAAAATAGAAATAAATAATCCTACCTTTCACTAGTCTTCACAAAACAATCCACTTGTTGATTTTTCCGAAACACCACCACCTTTAACATGGATTTTTTTTAATGGTTTTTTTTTTTTTATCTACAACCTATAAATAGGTTAAAATAGCCTCTCATTTTTTAATTTTTATTTAAACACCTCCCCGTCCCCCTTCCATGGCAACCATTATAGCCACCACCCAAAAACCCCTTACCACCGTACTCCTACCTATTACTACCAGCCTTCTCCCTTTGCAGCCATCCCCCACTTCCACGGGAAGTTCTACCCCAACACCATTCTTCTGCCCCATAAAACCCCCACCCACACCCCCATGCTACCTGAAACCCCCAACCCAACCCATCTGCCGCCTCGAAACCCCCAGCTAGCCCCACTCTCCGATTGCCCCAAAACCCAACCCCGACCCCAAAAATCCCACTTCTATCCACGAAAACCTCTACCCATGCTGGGAAACCTTAGTCACCAGCCAAAACATCAACCACCAAAACACCCACCTCCACCCCCAGGTCCCCCGCCACAAAACCCTTAGTCAGCCCCGACACACCTTGTCCCACCCCAAATTCACCAACCCCAATCCATCAAAGCCCCCCTCATCTCCCCTTTTCGTTTTTCGCTGCTCTCATCACCATTAGACATCAATGTATGACTGCTCTTATCCGTCTATATATTTAATTTTAAAAAATAATTAAAAATCAATAATCATTGAAAAATTAAATCAATTATATATTTACAAAAATTACATGGCCCTACACTAGTAAAGTCGTATCCCCTAATCAAAAGTAATACCTAAGTCCTCTAACTAAAGTAGATAGGGAAGTAGGTCGATCTCCACAGGGAAACAAGTCTTTCTATTCCTAATTAACTAAAATAATCTAGATTATGAAGTAACCAATATTTATATTTGAGTATGAAACTAAACTACAAAGAATGAGAATAGGGAGAAAACAATATATAAAAGGATCTAGGGCATAGGTTCACCAATAAATAATACTCCAGGGTAAAACATAATAATCAATCATTGACATTGCATAAATAACATGATTAACAGGCTCTCGCAATTTATTAATCAACATAGATCTAACAGGCTCTCGCAATTTACTAGATCTAAGTTCTTATTGAAAATAGCCTTTAATATCAAATTAACATCTGCTCGATTCATCAATTCAATATTGCTATAGTTTTACAAGCCATAATTGTAAAACGTTAAAACAATTCAATAAGAAATTATTATCATGCAATACCAATAATCAATAATAGTCAATCATCAATGCATCAATTAACCAGATTGTAAAGGGCTTTCGCTACGTATTACAATCACAGAATTAATCTACCGGTATTAAATCTCATCTCTCGAATCTCGACTTAACCATTTATAAATTAATCTGCCTATTGAAACTAGACCTAAACATCAACTCTCATCTCTCGAATCTCAAATCAATGTTGTCAAACTCATGCATAAAAGATAGGCCTAATCTAGTCACAGAGCATTAAATCAATCAATAGGAAATTAATCTAGCATTGACAATCAACAACAACAAATTACCCCTTCATATTATTTATGGATCCCCTTAAACCCTAGAATTAAAACTACTCACACATAACTAAAACTAAACTAATCAAAGCAATAAAATAAGTCATGATGAAAGGAATAAAATAAACAACTAAGATTAAGAGAAGAGAAATCGTTACCAAAATAAATCTGGAATTAAGAGTAGATTAAGAACAAAGGTTTAGGACAAAGAAATCTAAGAGAACAATTAAGAGAGTAAAGAAAGATTAAAAAGAGAGGGGAAAGAAGAGCTCTCTAAAATCGTATTACGGAGGAGTATTTATACACCGTACAAAATCCTAAACTAAAACAAATTAAAACGACGCTAATCGTCTCCTAAGAAATACACACGCCCGATCGGGCGAGGCACCGCCCGATCGGGCGCGCCTTTTTATCCCTAATACTAATCTCGCGCCCGGCCGGGCGCGTCACCGGGCGCCAGCCTTAGCTTCTCCCGCCCGGCCGGGCGGCTCACTTGGGCCACAATTTGGACTACGATTGGGCTCCAATACTTCGGGCCAATCCGGGTTTCCTCTTCCGGTCTTGAATACTCGGTCCAAATGCCCCGATATCACCTATACCGAGCCCTTAATCACCGGTTCGATAGCTCTAACCGGCCCTAGGCTATAAAATCTGGTCTTGCTTCTCCAATGTTCGTGATTGCTCCAAAATATCTCGGGAAAATACTCCAAAAGCATAAATCCCTGCAAAAGTCAACCAAATCTACGAAAACACTAGAAAACACCAATTAGTAATAAAAGTGGCTCTAAAGAGCCAAAAACACTACTAATTATGACCAAAGGACGGGGGTAAAATACTATATAAAATAGACACATCACTACACGACACACGTTTCAAGCAAAGGGAAGTACTATTCACGTACTGCACTCATATGAATTAAATTCTCTTTTTTAACTCTTTTAATTACCCACCCCACTCCTTAAACTTATCCTTGCAAATTACCAAATCCATTAGTCAAAAGACATAACTAGGGTTGTATAGAGTGTGGTTTGGACCGCATTTGCGGTTTGGTGCGGTTTGCGATTTGAAAATTGCGGTGTGGTTTTTTAAAATGATCAAACTGCGGTTAGCGGTTTGGTGCAGTTTCTAAAATTATTGAGACCAAACCCCACCGCAAACCGCACTTAATACGGTTTGCAATTTTTATACTATATTTTCATTAAAATTATATAAAAGAACTAAAATATATATGAGCTAATTTTTTACTATTAGTTAATTAAAGGTTAATAAAAAGAGTTTAATATTTAAATAATCAACTAATAATTATAATAAAAAATAAAATTTTTGTTTTAAATAAGAATAATTACAATTTTAATTAAATATGGTTAAATTGCAAACCGCACCGCACCAAACCGCATCTTGCGGTGCGGTTTGGTGCGGGTTTTTTAAAAAGTGCGGTTTGAAAAAATTACAAACTGCACTTTTACGGTTTGGTGCGGTTTATGATCCAAACAACACCGCGAACACCCCTAGCCATAACCACACTACCATATATAGAAGCTGATGCTACTAACATGCCTACCACCTCCACCGCCATGCTTTAAATTAATCAACAGAAACTTCAGATCATATCTAAGTAAAATTCTCCCTTCGCAGTTCCATTTTTTTTAAAAAAAAATATCCAACTCCAAAAAAACTAAATTAAAAATATTTATATATATGTTTTAAAAAAAACTATCAATAGCTACTACCACAAAAACAACTCATTTTCCTCTCCTCATCCTCGTCACCATCTTCATTACTACCGGGAACCAATACAATTAAAAAGAATAGATTTTTTATTTTTTTTTGCGAGGAAAAAATAATTTAGATAATCCAACCTTTTGCCCATTTAAATCTAATAATCCAGCGGATTAATCCTGAATAATCCAAACTTTGGGGTCTTCAATTCGATTAGGCCAAACCGGTCACCAACCTATAATATCAGGTCACCTTGCCATGTGTCACGTTCGGATTCGTCCAAATATATATTTTACATTTAAAAAAAAATTATTCAACCTTTTTTCCTTTTCTCTTTCCCCTTCGACTCCCTAGCTACCTCCTTTAAATCAGGCCCCCTTCCCTTCCACCCCCATTAAATCGGCACAGTGTCAACCTTGCCCCTCCTTTTTCGACCTCCTTCCTCTCCATTTCCCTACTACTTATCCCCTCTCTTCCTTGACTGTCTTACTTTTTGCCCCTCCCCTCCCCTTCCCATATTCACTTTTCATACCACCCATCCCCCATCCCCTTTCCCCCCACACCCACCTAACACGACGACCCCAAAATCCCAAAACCCTATCGACCTCTGAGTTCCAAAACCACCTCCCGTAAAATCGTTAACCCCAAAATCCCCTTCCTAAAGCCTGCACCCTTGAACCCCCCACCACGTACTTAGGGCTCCTTATAGATTGACGATTTGGCTAAAGGTCGGAGTTGTAGAGGGGTTTTGAGGGTGACTAGCTAGGTTCCAAGGGATGATGGGTGGTTGGAGAAAAGGAGGGAATCAGGGTTATAAAAGCAGATCAAGGTGGTTGTTGGGGAATGGATGTGAAAGGCAGAAATTAAGAAGGAGGAGAGAGAAAATGTTTTTATTTTTCATTTTTTTGTTATATCAAAAAAAAAAAATTCTTGATGAGAAAGTCACCGGCCAACTTAGCTTAATAAAATTGAAGACCCCTTAAAGCTTGGATTGCTCAGGAATAATCAAAAGGTTGGATCATTGTAGACGTCAACCAAAGCGCGCCTACTTAAGCATGTGTTAATATGTTTAACACTCTTATTAGGAAGTGGGAATTGACATACGATTAGGGATTAAAAAAAGTAGGAAACCGCCAACAAGTTTTTAAGGAACTTGTAAATCGTTCACGGATCAATATAAAGAAACCATGATAGGCAACAAGCCAACAATGATTGACTCGTTAAGGTTACACCCCATTCATAATCCATGAGATTACTAACTCCATATGGTTCGGAACCACGAAAGGAGAATCGGGGATGATGGTATGAAGTGAATCATAGATCGACATTCGCCCGTATTGACCTCTACTCGATTCTTATTGTAAAAAGTATTTCCTGTGATCTTAAAGGCGCACAAACTAATTAAGATTCAATTTGCTCCAAACAAATATCACTACAAGAAAAAGGGTAATTAGCGACGGCCAATGTAGTCGCAAATCCGTCGCAACAATGGGTTTGCGACGGATTTGCGACTACTTTGGTTCGTTGCCAATCAAAGACCTCGTCCCAAATCCATTTTTGCGACTAATTTTTGGACAGACGCAAATTTAGCGACGAATTTGCAACGCCTTTGCAAATACCATTTAACGACTAACTTTCAAATTTTAGCAACTAAATTATTTTCCGTCGTAAAATATTTGCGACGGATTAGCAACTACTTAGACCAATGTTTTAAGACTACTTTTGCGATGGATTAGCAACTACAAGACCAAACTTTTGCGACTACGAGACTAAACTTTTGCGACTACGGAGACTAGTTTAATTGCGATGGATTTGCGACTACTGAGAGTAATGTTTTTTTGCGACGGATTGGCAACTACTTATGAAACAAATTTTTGCGACTACAAAACTAATTATTTGTGACAGATTAGTGACTACTGAGACTAATGATTTTGCAACTAACGAATCAGTCTCTAAACCAAATTTGCAGTCGCTAAATATTTGCGACTGACGATCAATATTTGAGACCATAATTTAGCGACAACCAATATCAATCACAAAAAAAGGTACCCACGCATAAATTCAAATAACCAAAATGTTAATTTTATTCAAATATCCAAAATATCATCAAATTTGTATCAATGTATTAAAAAATAATATTTAACTCATATGACTAATTGTTTCAAAAGTCACCTCCCATATAAAGAAAGCTACTTCAAATAAGAACCAATAATGACGATGTAAAAAAAACCAGTTGTTCACAAAATTACCACCAAGAAAATAAAAATCACTTAGTTGTATCACGAGAGCGGGTGACTGTAGGCATAGGAGGCTTACAAGGACGGTAACCTTGTTTGACAAGTGAATAAGTGATACCATTTCCTGCAATGTTTTTTGCATAGCTAATTTTTCCTTCTTCCATGTAGCTTTTTAGATCTCATGATTTTCGACGAATTCCTTAGCATATTTTAAGCTCTCTGCCGCTATTTTTTTGGCTTTCTTCTACCTTGTTATGGTTTTCTTCTGCCATCTTCTTTAATTCTTCAACTTGAGAGCTTAATTGAGAAATCATGGAAGGAGTAGAAGATGATGTCGTAAGTTGAGAAGCAGGATCGCTCTTGTAATACATTTGTGAAGCACTCCCTAAACCGTAGACTTTTCCTTTCTTTTGCCCACCTACAACCTCCAAATAGACTTTGTCGGAGTTTATCTCAATTCCTTTGTTCTTATATTCCTCAAGTTTTTCCATATATTCTCCCTGCATTAAGATATGTATTAGTAACTATGATCTCAAATGTTAAAACTTAAAAAGACTAAAAACATCAAAAAAAAAAAAGTTAAAATAAAAAATGCAACACTTATAGCAAAATAATTTATGTAAGCAGTTATTAGTAAAAATTTCGGCAGAGTCTCCTTTGTAAATTGAAGAATCCCCTCCTATAGGGTATGGCTTCAAAATAAACCTGTATCAATTCACATTGTGCCATACCACATTAATCATATGATTAATGCCGACAAATGATTCTCATCCTCCAACTCAACCACACAAACAAATAAACAATCTATAATATCTCCAAACAATAACTACCATATTTTTTTTTTTGTAATATTAGCAAAATATAGAAGTATACTCATACCATGACTTTTTGAGACTTGTCACCCATCAATTCAACTTCATCATTGCCCACACAAACAGAATGAGTGTATACACAATCCTTTTTCTTTATTTTTGAAACAATGGAGAAAGAAGTGTTCAATATTCATTTGGTGGGACAACATAAATATAGAGAAACCAAAAAAAGAAACTTAATAGGAACAAAAAAAAAAACTTAATGCATCAGTGTATGTATCCACGATTCGCATATGCTTATAGTGAAACAAGCATAACAAAACAATGATAGGTACAAATCAATTTATTTTACCAAATCAGGGAATAAAATTTCAGAATAGCAGAAACTACATACATCAAAATATGAAGCATCATATATATGAGAATAGGATATCTAGTGTTAAGGAAAAATATAAGAAAAATAATCTAAAAATATTATTTAGAGATTTAAGTCAGTCTAACTAATTCATTTATATAAACTCCTGTTTATAAGTTTCTGTCATATAAACTATCAATTACAACATCTATATAAACATATTGCAGAGAGTATTTACATTGTCAGATATTATTTATTCTGCAGTATACAATTCTGGCACCTAAGACACAAAATTACTGCAATATAATAAATTCAATACCAGGTAATGCAATGGAATTATATTTGCAAGAATAAGTAGCGAAACCTAAATTCGGCAGCAGTGCAACACCCAACAACACCACAAGATCAACCACAGCTAACTAAATCAAAATTCTTTAGGAAACCTAATCTTGGTTATTATTTATCCTCTTCATCATTGTCATTTTTATCCTTAATTACAATGTAAAAATGCATATACACTTCACTTAATTATTCTTTCATTTTCTGAAAATTATACAGAGAATTCGAACAGATCCAGACCTTGCAAACCTCAGGGAAAATGAAATCAATCATTAAGAAATTAAAAATAATTAGGGTTTTTTGAATAATAAATCATGTTTGAATGTTTTTTTAATAATTGACTTCAAAAATAACCCAAAAATTCGCAATTGGCGGTCAAACAAAATCAATTCAATCTTCGCAATAAACCAGATTAAATTCAATTCAATCAATTCACAACTCATTTAATTCGCAATTCAATCAATTCGAAATTTAAAATCAATTTGCAATTTGCAAACGAAACTAGACTAAAATTAAAAAATTGGAGAAAATACTCAATTATACTAAATCGCAATTAGCAAAATGCAATATGAGAAATATTGAATGGACACTAGGAAGAGGAAGCATGCGTAACTAACCGGAGAGGAGATGAATGGCGCAACGGCGACTGATGAAGACGACGACGGTTTGATCTGAAGTTCTGAACTGAACTGTTCTGGCCTTCGTTTTTTTTTTTTTTTTTTTTTTTTTTGGTGAGGATGAAGAGTATCGAGTAGCACTGTTTGTAAATAAGGAGTGATGATTTTTTTTTTAGGAAGGAGTGATATAATTGTTTATTGTGTTTTTTGGCGGCAACAACTTATTGTACTACTTTTACAAAGGGTTTTTATATTTCCGTACCAAAAAAAAAAACTTATTATATATTAAGGGTTTTAATTCCTTTTTAACAAATTTTAAAAACAATAGTAGCAACTACCATGTTAGTTGCAATATTAGTCGCAAATTTTTAAAAAAAATTGTTTCAAATTTGTTAGCCTTAGCAACTGCAATTTAGTCGCAAAAAGTTGTAAGAATGTCGCAGATTAGCGACTGCATAGCAACTATTATAAAATATGTTGCAAAATTTGCAACAACTCATTTTTTGTAGTCGCAAAAATAATTTTTGCAACTAATTATTATGGTAGTCGCAAATATTAGTTGCTAATTAGCGACCGCATAGCAACTACTGCAAAATCAGTTGCAAAATTTGCGATTGCTCATCTTTTTCAGTCACAAAAATAATTTTTGCGACTGATTATTATGGTAGTCGCAAAAATCAGTTGCTAATTCATCTTTTTCTTGTAGTGTATTAAGATAAATTGGTTGAATGTTTATGCAACACATAATTCTAAATATCGTGATTACTTTATTAGAGAACAAAATTAAAAAAGGAACTTAAATTGGTTGTCCAAATTATCTTATTAGGCGTTATATTCAATAACATATTCCCTTTAGCATGCATAATGGTTATCAATACAATAATAGAATCAACATGAATGCTGGAATCAATTTAACCATAATAACGATTTCATTTTTTTTACATAGAGTATAGGGTGTAGATTTCATTTTTGTAATGGTAGTGTAAATTATCCTTTTATTTGTTTTATTAATTTTACAAAATATTTTCAAGAAGTATGCACTAATATTGTATTTGAATCCTCTATGCCCAAAACTCACAAATGTATACTCGTATATAAATATGTCATATTACATACATAACATTTTTTTTTTGGCAAGAAGCTAGAAAAGGGATTTCATTAATAAAATATAGTCAAATGGCACTTACCTATAATTCCAAAGAAATTAAGAATTAAAACACAAGTACATAATATCTTAAATTAAAACTAGATAAATTATTGCAGATTTGATCAACAATCACCTTAATAAAAAAACTTCATCTGAAGCAATACAATAATATGTGAATTTGCACTGAATTGGCTTGAATCCATTTATGCGTAGCCGTTTGAATGAAAATACTCATGTGGTCCTCCAGATTCTTATAGAGATTATAAACCCAGGATCTTCAATTACCTCCAAACAAACATAAAATAATAATAATAATAATAATAAACTCAAGAGAAAAGCATCATCTGATCGAAAAATGAGATCTATTTATTTGCAACTAATAAAAGGTTTTTGGGACTTACCACCGGTATGAACACCATGGAAGCCCCTAAAAGATTCACAATTGAGTCCAAGAGGAAACAGATGGTAGAGATGGAGAGAAAAAGGAGAAGAGAGAAGGAAAACCTTCAAACAAAGTGAAAAATCCTAGCAATAATGGAGGCTAAAAAAACCCTCCCAAAGGAAAAACCCTAGAAGGAACAAAAAAAACACTCCCAAGGAGAAAACTTACATGACACATTGTTCTACTAAAGAATTAGTTAAACTAATACAATAATAACATCTCAAGAAACAATAAACTAAAATAAAACCTAAACATTAATAATCAATTAATAACTATATACTAAAAGACACTGCAGCAATGAAACATGTCATTTCCTGACATGTCATAAGGGTTTTTTTTTTTTGAATAAAATTTTATTAAAGAAATAATCTTATACAACCTAATCTTATACAATATAATTACTATAACGGGGCGTTTGGTTGGAAGGATGAAAATAAGAGGGATAAGAAGGGAGGATAAAGATAGGGGATTGATAGGTTGGATAAGGATAAATAGTCTTTATCCCATGTTTGGTAAGTAGGGGAAATAAATTAGGGTTAATTAAAAATTTACAAAAATACCCTTACCAACTTCTACCCTTCTCCTTACTTTTTCAATTTCATTAAGGGTAATTTAGTCTTTTAAAACCCATTTTAATCCCTTCCCCTTATACCCCCCCTTAGTTATAGAAATGGAGGTGTTTGGGGTAAAAATATCCTAAAACACGTGGCCCAATGGCCTAGTGACACGCGGCATCCAGCCGTTGGTCAGCAGTGCTCCAATCCTCTGCTGACACGTGTCCTCTAAACCCTAAAAGGGAAACCATCCCTTCCCCACTATAAATAGTGGAAGGACCCTCATTAATGGGGGCGGGAACATTTTGATGTTCACATTGAATACTCTTCAAAAAAGAAATACCCCGAGCAATATTAATTGCAGAATTCTCCCATTACGCGAGAAGTAACTTCCACATTACGTGCATTCTACCTCCCGTATCTTTACTAACTTGATCGTCTGAGGCGGAGCTCCTACCCCCAGGAGTCTTCGTGATTTTGCAGGCACAGGCGTCGAAGGGCATTCTTGGAATTGTAACTCTCCCGCAGGACACATCAAAAGACCCCGAAACATTTGGCGCCGTCTGTGGGGAGAGTACTTCTAAGACGACTTCTGATACTGTGTCACCGAATCAGGGCAAACGGCCTGTGGTCGAGCCTGAGGTCCAGACGGACCATGAAAGTGGCGACGAAATTGAAACATATGTGGCCCCGGATGGGTCTTTCAGAACGAAGCACCCTCGTGCTAAAGATAGAAGAGAACGGGAAATCAGCCAAGCTGCTCCCAACAACCCAGCCGGGCAACCGGCTGGAATTGCCCAAACGGTGGAGGGCTCAGCCCCCGTCACAAGAAACGAACTCATGTCTTTCATGAATAGTTTCAAGGGTGAGATCAAGAGCCTCATCCGGTCAGCTACTCCAAAGAAGGGTCAGTCGGCCAAGAAGCCTTCTGGAAAGAAGGCGGTCAAAGAACGAGTTCCTACCCCTCACCCAAAGCCAAAAGAGGGGGAGGGCCTAAGGTTTGACCCGAGCAGACTCCGTTTTCCTCAAGGGGGGCTGCGAAAGGCCATCCGGCACGTACAGCCGGATGGCTCCAAGAAAACATTCTCAGACGCCCGCACATTTCTCCAAGAGAAGCGAGGTCAGGCGTCTGCGTCGGCCTCAACGTCGACCTTCCCGGACAGTTTCCATGACGTCTCACACAGGCGTACGGGAACGAACCTTAGGAGCCAGACGGGCGAAGCTTCTGCCCGGTCTGGACCCAAAGTGATCCAGCCTGGCCTATTCGGCACACCGAATAGGTTGGGTGGATCCCCTTTCATGTCACCGGGTCTTTTCGGTGGGCAAGCGCAGCAGCCGTTCCAACCCACGGATTGGCAGCTGCGCCTGCTAAATTTGGGGGAACAGCCAACGGCGTTCTCACCAGAGATAACCCAGGCGGCACAGCCGCCTAAGATCAAGAATGTTTTGGTGGGGGCCTATGATGGCACCACCAACCCAGAAGACCATCTAATGGCCTACTCTAACCTCATGTACCTCCAGGGGTTAGATGATGCCGTCTGGTGTCGATGCTTCCCGGCTACCCTCAAGGGCATAGCCCAGCGGTGGTTTGGTAACCTACCAGCCGGTTGCATCAACAGCTTTCGAACTTTGGCGTACTTGTTTACGTCAAATTTCTCAATGAATATTCCTGCCAAAAAGACTAGCCTCGACCTAGGGGCAATACAGCAGGGCGACCGGGAGGGCCTCCGGTCGTACGTCAGACGGTTCAATCTGATGAGAATTCAGATTCCAGGACTATCAGACGAAGTGG